GATCTCGGAGTGAATGAGCTAGCACGTTATGTTATCCACCAACTGCAGGTAAAACTGCTCAAAAGGGACAAAAGCCAATAGCAAAGATTAGACTTGAACAACAGACAAAGTCTGCTATTGTGACTGAGGATGGTGTGAGCGGTGTCACATTGCAGAGTAGTGCTGCAATGCTAGTCAGCAACACAACCCACAGGAACAGACTAAGTTTAGTTAATGAAGAAAGGAAGCCTTGAAGAAAGGAAACTCACCTCACCTTGGCTGGATCGACACGACTTCAAAAAGGAGTGACTGAAGGTGTCAGAAGAGTTGCAGCAGGAAATTCAAACAGGAGTTATGAAGGAGGCCGAGTAGGACTCATTTGGGTCTCTGGCCTTTGTTGCTTCAAATCAACCCCCTCTCCCCCACCCCAACCACCAGCCAGGAAAGTCCTCAAGGTCGGAAATTCTGCTGGACCCCTCCTACCTGTCAAGACTTTCTCTCTCTTTGGGAGGGGCAGGGGGTCCACTGGAAATCCTTTAAGTGTCTGCTTCCCCTTTTGCCCTCTTCCAGCTCAAGGAAAGAATATGAGTGAGCACTCCCATTTATGCTTGTGCCCTAGGATCAGAAAGCAGGACCAAAATAAAAGGGAGTGGGCAGGTTGTCTCTGGCGGGCAGTGCCGTAGCGTGATTTGCACTGTTTGTTTCTGATCTCAGGAAGAGAAGAAAAAGAACCCAGTAAAAAATGTTTTTGCTCTTACACAGATCCATTTTTGATTTGTCTGAGTCTCCATTTTATAGGAATAAGGGTGCATCAAGTTTTTTTCCCTTTTCTTTTTTAAATAAAACCTGGACTACATTAACCAACAGTGGCATGTTTCACTAAAGGCAAACAACAAACCAAGCTGACAGACATTTCCTTAATTTAGGCAATGCAGCAGCAAAAAGCCCCACAAATTTACCTCATTTCCTCTAGTTCAAACATGAAGTTTACCTCTTGTGATCACATCAACAGGGAGGCAAAGCTGGGGAAGGATCCTAAAATGAGCAACATGATACAGCAAATATCAGGAAACTCTCAGCTTGTCCTTGCAGAGAGCGCAAATTCACCAAAATACATAATGTTTCACTCACATGACAGAGAACCACTGACAGCACAGCTGAATAAAACAGCAGCATAAGAAAGTACTGTTCATAATAGTTCATAGGGGTGTGCAAAGTGGGCCCTATTCGATTTGGATTCAGATTCGGCCCGAATTGGGGACAGCGATTCAATTCATTGATTCAGATCACTGTCTCTGATTTGGTTTGGCCGAATCCGAATCTGAAGGTTCGATGCTGATTCGGACATAGACACAGCCTTAAAAGTTTTTTCTACAAACCTTGAGGTAGCAGGCATGGCTTGTGATCGCTGCGATGCGGAGGTGCATGGAGCATCCCACAGGACTGCGGGGGTCCTTCTATGTGCTTGGCAGCAAACCTGGAAGTGGATCAGAATTACTTCCGGTCCACTTCCAGGTTCACTGGGGAGCACACGGGGGCCCCCCCCTACACCTCCCTGGCTCGGTGATTGGCCACAAGGGGAGCCCGGGTGTAAGTGTACCAGAAGTGCTTCTGGTCCACTTCTGGGTCTGCTACCGAATGCACTGAGGATCCCCCACGCTTCTGTGGAACACTCCATGCACCCCAACATCGCAGTACTCATGAGCCCCTGATACCTAGAGGTATGTAGAAAAGACATTTAAAGCCGTGTCTATGTTCAAATCGCCAAATCTTTCTGAATCAATTCGGAGGATTCCAATTCAATTCAGAGAGATTAAGGGGTCCTTTGATTTGGATTCAGAGATTCGGCCACCGAATCAGACCGAATCTCCGCAAAATCAAATCAGGGACCAAAGCTTTGCACAGCCCTAATAGTTCACTTTCATGTTACATGAACTGCCAGGTTCTCAAATCAGCACATTGTGCTAGATGCTGCACAAATATTTAAAAATATGGTCTACACCCAAGTCTTAGCATGTCAGTTGTTCCAGGCATTTCTTGTGCAATGCCCCATGCAAAATGAAGCCCAGTCCCCTTACTGGAGATCAACAGTACTTGCATAACATCACTGAGTACAACTCTGTGAGGATTCCCCAGTACAGTACCTTTTTGGCTGTAGATAGGATCTGGCCATGGAAAACAATCTATAGCCATGACCAAACACAAGTGCATGGCTGCACGCTGTTTCAAAAATGGCCAGTCAGGTGAAAATCTGAACTCTCTCATTGCATGAGGGGTCAGATGAAGACATTTCAAAACATAGCATCTTCTATAACTTGCGTCTGCACTGCCTCCATCCTGTTGCTGTTTTCAGAATGGGAGTGGGGAAAGGAAGTGGAGGGAGTTCAGTTTCAGGTTTTTTCAGTCCATGCAAGACTGGATGGGGGAAGGCTCCAATATACTCATCCCACCCCACAGTGCCAGCTGGGGAACCCCTAAAATGAGTTCCCTCTGCTCCCTCCCATTCTGAAACAGGGACAGGCTGGGAGAGAGGAGGGGCCACTACTAGGGGAAACTGGCTCACAGCCAACAGCTAGATTCCCCTCCCCCCTGGAACCAACAGTGAACTTCTGTTTGTTCCGGGGGATCGTTGTAAATCAGAATGCTTCCTGAAAAGTGTTCTCGTTACAGCAGGGAACTGCACTTCTGTCTGCACCTTTTGAGAAGGCTCACATACTCGTCCCCCTGCCCCACCCTTGAAGGCGTGACTCTTCAGTGTACAAACAAAAACATGCCCATCCCTCATGGGATCTGGGTAATATGAAATGGTCATACACCAGTCCTCTCAGAGTTCTAGTGACTACAACATAACCAGTTTGCTCTTGCATAACTAATAATAATGGCTTCTATTTGCGCAGCGTCTTTGATCCTACAAATTGCGATGCACAGTATACACAAGATTCACTCCACCCACCACTGAAATGTGGTCTTCTGTAGGGTGCTGCTGTTTAACATGCATGCACAGAAGTCAAGTACAGCAGAAATAGGATACTTATCCATCTCATAGGGTAAAGTAGAATTAATGCAAACCACATGACTTTAGACTTGCACAGGTGGAGGAAGACCATCTCTTCCCTGGTTTTGGTGCAGCTGCTGAATTCCTACAGTGATGCTCCTCAGTTAGGTTTAATAAGGCGATCTAGCAACTGATGCTTGGAAGATCCAATTTGCACATTCTCAACTAAGTACCACTGACTCTTACGGTGTTTCTCCTTCTCAGCACTACATTGCCTACCCTTGCAGGCTTGGCTGCCATTTCTACCTTAGCACCACAGGAAGCAGTGGTGAGCAGATCAGACAGACAAGGAGACCATGAACTGAGAGGGAAGGCTAGATGGAATAATGGGGGTGGGGTGGGTCTTGAGTCTTGAAGAACTGAAGGTAGAAAAGAGAATTTGAGGTATATGAATCTAGAGGTAACACACAGGGGACAAGATAAGTAACTGTCATCCAATCTCTCAAGTAGCCTTGAATGTTTGGGGTTAACAAACAAGAGTTCTTTCACACACATGAAAAAACACTGTCATTTTCTTTTGCATGTTTCTGCTTTGTCCTACAAACAACATGAGGACACAGTTAAGTGAGGGCAGAGAAAATGTACGTAATGGGTAAAAACAGATTTTACCAGAAAAGCAGGGTTAAAACTCCTACTTTTGAAAAATGTACCACTGGAATGTACTGCCCACATGTAACTACTGTTCAACCACTTGTGACTACGACACAGAGCCTCAAACTATGCAACACACCTGCTGCAATGCCTGCTGTTTGATGGCACATGTGCAATGAAAGATTTTGCAAAATACAATAAATGAGCAGAAGCATGAATAACAAAATAGTCAAATGTGGTGTAGAGACACAAGATGATAATGATGATGACAACCTCGGGTCAGATTTATAGCTCATCCAAAAAGTGTACCAGTTCCCTCCAATATGATTCTGGGGTATTGGTTCAGTATTACCTCAAAACAAAGAATGCCACCTAAATGAATAATCAATAATATATATGCCTTAGCACTTGTGTTCCATCTGAGTATTGAGGTAGACAACTCTTGTAGCTAGCTTGCAAAATACAACTGAAAGATACCACACACTACTATAATCAGTACATTGATCTGTTATTAATAGACAGTAAGAGAACTAACACACTTGTTTGTTTGGCTTGAAAACATTCTATTTAATTCATACAAATAACTACTAAATAGAAAAAGTAGATTAAAACAAAATAGTTATTTTTTCTGGCAGAGTTTAAATGCACATTATATAGCTTAGAAGAAAAATGCATTTTCCCCATGGCATTCGTGACCTAAAACTCTACTGACGTCTTCCATTGCTTTCATTTCTAGATCAGTAGGATACTAGATGCAGTGTCATGTGGGTAATGGCTATATATGTTCTCCATCTGAACTGAAAATATTTGTTACAGACCACACACCTACAAATGTGAAGCACTTAAAATGTGACTATCAAGTTGTAATATGATGATACAGAAAACAAATTCTGTGCCAGGTTATATTGTGTTACAAAAAGATTTGTGTAAGAAATCATGAAAGAGGCCACATAAAAATAAGCTTTAACTTTATGCACTTATTTCAGCTTTTTTAAAAACTGACAAGTGCACTGGTAATAAATAATTTGCAAGTTTTGTATAAACGAGAATTTCCTAATGTTCAGCATTACTGTAAACTTCAGTACACATGTAAAATGCAGCTAAAAAAAAATCTGACAGTTACTTTTTCAGTTTGCCAAATTGATTTCCTATATTTCAGGCATAGATCAATGGAGTACATAACCAATCATATTTTTGGCAATTCATATCTTTAAAATTAACAGTGACAGTGCAAGTAAGGAATGCAAAGAATTCCTAGTGCAATAAAGAAGAGAAGCACAGGCAATATTGCTGATTAAAATTTACCACTTCCATGTGTTTACCCTGGGAGTGACTAGGAGACAAAAAAAACAAAGAATAAAAACAAACAAAAAAGTCTATTAAAACCATTGTTTAATGCCCTGATCTTGTCTTAGAATTTCTCTGTCTTCCTTCAGGCCACTACCTTTGAAACAGTACTTCCACCATGAGTCTGTATAGCTTGACCATTCGTGAAATGCCCATTAAAGTCAATGAACAAAAGTTCTTATGGTTCCACTGCCTCCCAAACAGATGGCTAGGTAAGAACTTCTGCCACTATAAAGAAGCCATTTGGGACCCATTCTAAAACTTGTCAGGCCAGAATACTTCTGAGCCAGACAAAAGCCTTCCATCAGGATTGCTCCATGAAAAAAAAAAGTGTCAACAGTCAGCTTTCAGCTTATCTAAGGAATTATCAATTTTGGTCAAAGTCTTTTTGATTCGCAGGGCTGTTAGTCTTGCTGATGGGTTTTGATACCAGCATTCTTTCATCAGTTTGGCAAGAGATGTTAATGTCTGGAAAGAGAATAAAAACAAAAAGTCACAAATCACAAACCAACAAGCTTCAGAGACTTTACTTACTGCCTGATTAATACTCCAAGATTGAGAAGCTACAGTGCAGTTCATTGCCACCTAAAAAAAAAAATCTGGTCCTCAAACACAAAAAACTCTATAGATGTGTAAAGTATTGGATACGTAGAAACTATCCAGTATTTTAGGAAGATGGGGTCCAGAGGATGCACTGACCAGATGAAAACAAGAGATGATGTCAAACTCAGATAGTTTTAAACATTCAAGAATACAGTTTTACTAACAAAATACGTGTTCTTGTATTTATTTTCAGCTTAACTTTTTTCTGTAAAATCAGTGTAGAAGTCTAAGTTCAATACCCAGTGCAGCTTTGCATTACCAGGAAATAGCTGTCTTCGTTGGCAGCACAGCTGAGGACTATACAACTGTAATATTTTGTAGGCCCTGGACAAATAATGTCCACATGCTCCATTCCCTCATCTACACTACATAGATTTAACCATAAATTCTACCACTTCAGAAACAGAGAAAAAAATTGAGATTTTTGAGGACACAACTAAATAGAGTCTGGTGAAGAAAAAGAAATAAAGGAGCTGTAAAACAGCCTATACCAGAAGAAAGAAGTAGGAGATGATCTGATGTTTCAAGACATGAACTTGGACTTGCACACTTACTGGGTCTGAGAACCATCTGTTGGGAATGTTTGGCCTTTGCTGATCTACGCAGACCACTTTTCTCATATCTTCAAAACTTGGGTCATTAGGAACCAAATCATAGAATGGTGGTTTATAGTCTTCTACAATACCTAGAAGACAAAAAGGCTTATGTTAGTGCACTGTTGTGTTTTAGTATCTTCATCAGTAAGACAACACTGCTACACAGAGGATGAGGTTACATGATTTAACCGACTGAGACATGCAATAATCTTTCAGAAAAGGATGGTGTGGAGTGCTGAACAGCTGTTACAAAATGGAATATTACCACTGTATGTGTAGTTTTGCATTTTAAGATATTAAATTAGTGCGCAAGAAGCCTGAGAGGCAAACAAGAATCATCTCTATTTTGTAACTTGAGAGGCTAAACACACAGAGAAACTAGCTAACTTGCCCAAGGCAGAGCTACAATCAGAACTCAAAAGAATTACAGAAACAAACACAAGCATGATTATCTACCCACGCTGCTTCCTAAATCACTATGGATGGAAAGCCAGTGAGGTTCTCACACATGAGAGAATCAAATGACAAAAGGTAAGAGGACTAGATAGCTTTTAATGCAAGATACTTTCCTGATGGCGCTCTCAAGCAAAAAGCCGTTGTTTACTCCTGGTAAACAACTAAAAAATGTAAAGTCAGTGTTACTTAAGCACTAATACAGTAAGTGTACATTTCTTCTCCTGACGTATTTAATAGAGTGAGGCATTGTTAATCACAGATTTAACCGCTTTCAATCACTTATAATTGTATTAATTATATAAACTGACTCTTGTGTCCTTGTGAAATGTATGTAAATTCACTAAATTTCCAGACAAGTGGGATTTCTGTTAAGAAATGACAAAAAAAATTATTGGCCTTGCTAGGTAATCGCATGCAGTCATGATGCATGGAGAAAGACAAAACACAATTAAGTCTTTTTGCACCGTCACACTGCCATCTCAAATAAAGGTATAGCTCACTGTTACATATATACATACATACACACACACACTTTTTTTTTTAAGTCACATGTCATCACAAAGCCAAGTTACTATATTTCTAGGAAGAAGTAAAACTGTAAAGTTGATTTCAAAACTACAGAAACTATAGCTGAGTTATACAGGTAACAGTTACAATAGCATGTACATACAAGCACACACCTGTGCGTGTACGTGTGCACACACATGCACACACACACTTTAAATCTACGGCTTAGAGCTGGCAATAGCTAAATGGAGTCTTCCGCAAGGACTCCAGCTGTGTTCAGTGTTGCCCAGCCATACTGAATGGTAGCAAGAGTAGTTGAAGCAGCTAGTCAGAGCTGCAGGTGATGTGGGAACATCAGACAAGGGAGGGTTGAGTGCCTCTGCCTTTTGTGTCATAAGAGACCCACAGCATACTTCATTTCATCACTGCATTATTGGTTTTGAGGGGTAAATCACGCACCACATATTTCCTTGACACATGAAGAAAGACAAAAAGCAATGAAGTCCTATATACACTCAGGCTGTTGCTTCAAAAGAAAGTTGCTTATGAAATGCTGCTTTTTCTCTGAGGATATATATCAACTGACCTGACTCAAACCCAAGTTTGGCTCACTACTGCTGACAAAACAGCCAAATGGGCTGTCAGAAGTTGTCTGAAAAATACTGTGGTCAATGTGTTTAATGATGTGTACAGTGACTGTCCTAGATAGAATCATGTGCTGTAGAATAATGGAAATATGAAAGGTAGTGAAGGAGTTGTCAGTGGACTGACATCTGACTCCCCAAGTATCTCTCCACTATTCATCCCCCTTCTCTCTCTTCCCACCCCCCCCAGCCTGTCTCTCACCCATCAACTCCTCAATCTACATTTTCACTGACTACCTGTTCTGTATGCATAGTAGCCCAGCCTCTGGCTTCTTTACTTTTCATTCCATCCAGGAAGAGCACACACCAACTGCTGAAACTTCCTTAGCCTGACGAAGGGTTTTTGAACCCGAAAGCTTGCTTAATAATTGTTTTCCAACGATTTAAGTTGGTCTAATAAAAGATATCAGATTCACCCAAAGACCCTTGTCTGCCTATATCCTTAGACCAACACAGCTACAACCTACACCCCTGCAGCTGTTAACAAGGCTGGTGAGACATGATCTAGGTCCCCTAGCCCTGATAATTTAGCTCCATGATGGTTACAACAACTGCAGGCACATGTCTCTCTCCTCCCTTCTGCTGTCCCTGCGCCATTCCCAGATCATGCTCTCCATCACATCACAAGCAATCCCAATGTATTAGTGTTTTAGAAGCTACTGGCATTTTAAAACAGAATAGTAGAAAATATTTAGTGTTTTAGAAGGTATTTGTACATAAGTGATCCTTGTTTCTGGTGCCCTCAGCTGCCAAGTACATACATTGCAGGTAGCAACCTGGACTAAACAATCTAAACAGTCTGTCAGAGACCCCCACTACATCCCTCTACCTACGTGGGCTCTTCAACCACTGTTTTGGTCATGCTTCTCAAGCCAAACACCTGACCCACTGATTCAACAGTCTCTCTTTCTCAGAGGTGTGAAACAGCCTATTCTAGTCTGAGCTGGAAGACCATCCTACAGAGATGAATGCAGCTCATAACAGCACTTCAAGGTGCTAACTATGCTATTCAACTCAATAGATGTTCTTAAATCAAGGGGTGGGCAAAATACAGCCTGTGGGCCAGATCCAGCCTGCCAAGCACTTTCATCTGGCCTGCAGCACCCCTCAACAAATTGCACCCCACCCAGCTCTTCTGCCCACGAGGGTGGGAGCAAGGAACCCATAGACTTCATAGACATTGGGGGCTGGAAGGGACCTAGTGATATATCACTGAGTCCAGCCCCCTCCCACAGGTAGGAAGTCAGCTGGTATCAAGTGATCCCAGCAAGAAAAATATCCAGATATTTCTCGAAAGAGTCCAGAGTAGGTGCTTGCACCACCTCTGGCGGAGTCTGTTCCAGACCCTGGACACATGCGTTGTAAAGAACTTTTTTCTTATGTCTAGTCTAAATCAACCTTCCTGGAGTTTATGGCCGTTAAATCTTCAGGCTGGGGCCAGGGTCGCTCCCCACCTCCCCCCACTGCTTCAGGTGGGGGCAGGGGCCTTTTTCCCCCTCTCCCCCAGCCACTTTGGGCCAGGCACCATTCCCTCCCCTGCCTGCTGGCTGTACTTGTGGGGGACGTCAGCCCCTGGCTCCAAGGAGCAGATCCAGGGGGTGCGGGGGTGAGGCCAGTGCCCCCCTGCTCCATCACCTCCATTATGGCGGCGCTCCGGTCCCTGTCAGCCCCCTCTGTCTCCAAGGAACCCCGCTCCCCTATGGCCCCTCAGTGCTCACTATCACTGCGGTGCTCCGCTGTCTGTCCCTGTCTGTGTAAGGCACTCTGGCTGCTGAGACAGCCAGTCGGAGCATGAATAAAGCATTACAGACCGGTAGACAGACAGACAGACTCATGCTTTTATAATATTAGATTTATTTGCTCCTCTCCTAACACCTCACTTATCTCTCATACCTCCCAACACCCTTCAAAAGATCTGGTGGCACACTGGTTGAGAATCCTGGTTATAGGCTTTAATGTGAGTTAACCAATCGGGATTTTTACCCAGCTTCCATAGGGGACCCAGTGCTGCCCTCTCTCTTTTCTGTGGCCCTTTGGTGCCACCCCATCCCACCCTCACATGCTGCAGTTGGTCCCTAGGGGCCTGGCACTGTCCTCTTCCAATCCTCGTGTGCCAGGATTGGGCCCTGAGGGGCTCAGCACTGCTCCTTCCTGCCTTCCAGGATTGGGTCCTGTGAAGCTTGGCAATGCTTCCTCCCATCTTCTGAATGCTAAGATGGGGCCCTTGGCCCAGCTCCCTGAGCTTGGTACTCCATGCAGTGTGCCAGGCTCAGGGCTCTCCATGGGTTTGGAAATTTGGTAGCAGGGGAGCAGTGCCATTGCTCTCCAACCTTCTGGACCTGTGGGGAGGGGAGCCTTGTGGGCGGGCTAACATGGCACCGTGGGCTGAATCCAACCCATGGAATAATAGTAAATTCTATACTATGGATTTGCTAGTCTTCTGGTGTACCACTGGATACATGACTCCTTGTGTTAATCGTTTGAATCAGAATAGTAAACCTTACATTCCTGTTTTGTAAACATTGACTTACTTGGGTATTTCAGCTTTTAAAGGCCATCCCTTCTGTGAAATAAGCTATTCTGTCTGAATGATCATTTGGAAGAGTCAGCACTCCTCATTGCTCACCTTCTCAGTTGTTGATTAGAGTAATGGGGAGCATAATATAATGGCTTTTCAGCAGTCTTTGTGCCTGTCATCTGACACTGTCCCCTTCCCTAGCACTCTTGCTTGTATATTCGCTTATCTGTAATATTCTAATCTTGCTGACCATCATTACTCATTACAGAGAATGAAGACCACATAGTAATCCTCACAGTTTCAACTAGTATTTTTGTGCAAAGATATGTTGATTTCTGAAGGGAAGCCATGCAGTGCCCCAGCAGGAACCAAAAGGTGGCAGGGCAGGCAGCGCGGAGGGAGGAGCGAGGCAGGGAGGAGGAGGGGAATTAGTACCCATAGCCTGTGATGTTAAAGAAGAAAACAGCAGGTGGCTTAATGACTCATCAATTAAGCAATTAGCTGTTTGTTCACAGGTGCTCCCTCCCTCCCTCCCAGCCTGGGGCTTCTTGTGGGCTGTGTTGTCTGGTTGGACTTGCCACCACTGCCGCCTCCTTCCCTCCCCCAAAGGATCCCAGGAGCGGTTCCTAGCAGCACCAGTGTCTGAGCTGCTGTGTTATCGATTAAACAGTTAACTGATATAGAGACAGTTAAACAGATAAATTTTTAAACTTTGATTTAGTTGCAAACAGCTGGTTCCCATATAGGGAAATTTTTAAATATTTCCGTTTTGAATCAGGTTCTGGCATGCTATGAATTATATTTTGCATGCATTTAGGATTGGTATTTTACCTATTGAGAGACTTGTTTTCTTCCCCTCTTCTAAGTGGAAAAGAGAAGGATGTCATAGTTCATAATGACAATTTTGTTATGATAGTGTGGACTAGAGGTTATCGTGCTGGGTTGGCATAATTCAGCAGTTGTT